TATTTGCAAACCGAGCCTTGGTATAAAGGAATCTTGATTTTAATTTTAAATACATCAGAATGTTCTAACAATTTGAATTTTTCATCATTGAGAACCAAGATATTCCTCTACTTTTCTGAGACCAGAAGGTATCTTTAGATAACTCATTCATTCCTTCATACTGGCATACTTTTGGCTTCTTAATATGCCGATAAAGACTTTCGAATTATTTCCTTGTGTTTTCAGGCTGACCGACCTCACCAGCTCTTTGCGGATACTTCATCTCTGCCTCCTCCTCCTCCACCGCCTCCACCTCCTATCGTCGTCCCTGGGGGTCCTCCACCCCCTCCAAATGTTTTGCCACCCCTTGGTCTTATGCCTGGTCTAGGCATGCCGCCCCCTCCACCTCCACCGCCCCCGATCGGCCTCGCCCTGGGGCCTCCGCTTGGTGCCCCTCCAGGTTCTGGAGGCTTCTTGGCACCGCCTCCGCCTCCACCCCCGCCTACAGCTACTTCCCTGGTTGGAGCCTATCCCTCCCTATCCGGTCTGCCCCCACCGCCACCACCACCACCTCCATCTACAGCCACGTCACATGGTTTCCCAGCTCCGCCTCCACCACCACCACCACATGCCACCAACCCCTGGGGCATCCCGCCTGTTCCCGGCCCTATTTTTGCTCCTCCGCCCCCTCCGCCTCCTCCACCACCACCACCACCCCCTATGTGAAATATTTAGCCTTTCTCTATCTATATACTTTTATGAGCCCGGATTATTAACTACATCCATGCTCTTTCCTGATAAGCCCGACTTATCCTAAATCCTTCAAATCAATCCATCTGCTGAATCTTGAAACTATGCTTGTCGGTTTCCTTCATATCTCATTGAAAGCATTGGTGGATTCGATTTCTTAGTTTATCTAAAATTTGTATACGCTAATACTTGCTTTTGCATGGGGTTTTGTCTGGTACTCGCGAATATTCTCGTTTCTTTTATTTAGTTTCACTTAACGATTTGACCAGTAATTTTGATGGGATGTTTAAAAACGACGGACTTTATTTCATTATCTGGGTAATAGCCAAAGTTCTTTCGGATATACGAAACAATACAAACGCTTAAAATATCGCGTAGTCGTGTATTTTTTCATCACAACGGGCTTGCGTGCACCGTTGCCGCTTTTTTTAGTACGTGTGGGCGTTTTAGGTCGCAAACTTATGCTTAATCTATTGAAGACTTATTATTTTTAGTCGAAGGTATAAAGACCAAGATGGTGTGGCCTTTTGTGTGGTCGCAGTCTCCTTTCGTTGAATA